AGAGCGGTTAGAATGCCCCCAGACTGACCCAGGAATCTCTTTCTTCCTCATCTTGTCAATCCCCAGCATTGCCTGTGACACCAAGGCCTCCTCTGGCTCATTCAGAACCAGGTTTATTGCCCTTAGGAGGGAGCTTCTTAGTTGCTATCACCAAAATCAAGTGATCTTAGATGTATACACCTGAGAGCGCCACCGTATGTAGATAAAGGGCCCATTCTTGATTTTGATACCTTAACCGCTGTAGATGGTAGCTGATTGTGGACAGACAACAAAGGCCACATCTTCAAAAGGGGAAATTAGATGTTTGAGTGTTTGGAGAATAACAGCCCCCAAGGCAGTCACAGAGCAAGGTCAAGCCATGAAAGATAGTTTAAAGAGTTTAGACAAAGGAAGACTAACTAGGAAGAGACTTCCAGAAACTGAATCTTAATGACCAGGAGGTCCAATTGGTAAGGCTGTGGTTCCATTCCCAGCTCTGATCGATACTGACTTTATAACTTTGGGTAGGTTTACTGCACTTCCATGTAGCTCAGTTTTCTCCTCTGTAAACTGGGGGAAATAGCTCTCATCTCCTTCATAGAATTACTGTGAAGACTAAATGGAAAAATATAGGTAAACAAAGCATTTATTGTAGTCCCCACACCATAGGAAGCAGTCAGTAAAGATGTTGTTGTAAATCTTGCTATTATTATTTGGACATCATTATGGTATCAAACGGAAGGTCCTGGGATTAGAATGGACTGGACAGAACAATGAGAGCAACCAGGAGGCAGTGTCTGCGAAGATAAGTGTGTGTCTGCTCCCTGAGCCTAGGGTTGATTGTGAGCTGAGGCTGCCTCGGGGCTGCGTGGAGGTGCTTGGTGGGACTGGGAATGGCTGCGGTGGTGGAGATGACGCTGCAGACCAGGACGGGGGAGATAAGGGGCCTCCTACTCCAGAGGCAGCAACCAGAACAGAGGTTACTCTGCCTTTAGGTGGCAGCAGGGTAGGGAGGGGTGGCCTGGCGGCTGTATCTCCACGGTTGGCTCAGAGCCTAAGCCCAGGCCAGGGGGGCTGTTTACAGGGCTAATGTCCCACAGTGCACTTGTGCCTCAGCTTTATCCAATCTGAATTGGCCCTGATATCATTTTCCTAGAGAAACTTCAGCCCAGAGGACTTGGTTGGTGGAAAAGGAGCGGGGAAGGGGAGTGGTTGTGAAGGAAGCTAGAAGTCCATGGGTAGAGTGCTGGACTTTTGGAGAAGGGGATAGAGAAGGTACGATGGATTTGTATCCAAACAGACCAGAAACCTCTAAAATCCTGAATCATCATTTTGCTCTCGGCCCTTAACCGACTGGCATCACTATTCTCCTAGATATCCAGAAATAAACTCGGAAGCTCATTTGTGGCTGACATACACTGTTATACACCACCCCCCTTCAATCGGTTTCCATGACTTTATTTTCCTCTGTAAGTGTTTTCTTTCCATATATTCCCCTCCCTCTGCCCTCACCCTGGGCCAGGCAGCACTTCAGCACTCCTGTACCACCGAACCAGCACCGTTTCTCTTGTCTTTTATCTAATCAATCCAGATCCCCAGGACCACACCAGCCTTTTGCAGATATTATTTTCATTATGTCACACTCTTCCTCAAATCCTCCAGTCCCTTTTTATTCTAACGTGTGAAGTTGTGCCTTTTCTTCACCGACTCTCACGGTGCTTTACTATATGCCGCCCATCAGCATAGGAGCTTTATTCGTCTTCTCCAGCCGTAGGGCCGTCCTTACGCCATCCTGGCAAGTGCACCATAGCACAGTGCTGATGGGGAAATACTGTCAAGGTATCATTAGTGTGACTGTCCTAGTCAGTTCCATTTTGCCTGAGATGGGGAAACAAGGGACAGAGGTGAAATACTTTCTTTCAGAAATGTGCTAAGACCCCAGGTGAGGACTCAGTATGATGTGGGAAAGAGAATTTCTGGCTTAGAATGCAATTCATTCCTACAAGTATTTATGAAACATCTTAGGTGGGTGTGAAGGAAAAAGGGACATTGTCCCTGCTACCAAAGAGTTTGCAGTCAACAGGGAGATGAAGATACAAGAAGCCACCTGAGTAATAAAACTAGAGGGTCAGTCATGCCTCTGCCGACTGAAAAAAAATGCACAACCTACAATTTGAGAATTATGTTTTACTTAACGGACTTAGTGAGGACTTAAGCCCACGGTACAGCCTCTCAGCTCTCAGGGACTGTTCCAAAGAGGTAAGGGAGGAGCCAGGATATATAGGAGTTTTACTGCTAATTAAAGAAAAACCAGACATCTCAAGTTAATGAATTTAGTGCCTTTCTATGTACGGAAGATGCAAGAGTCTGGACTTACAGAAATTATTCCTTTCATATGCACTTTACTGTCTAGGGCCAGGATCCTGTTTTTCCCCATCCTGAGTCCTCTCAGCATGCACCATTGGGGCGGCTACAGTAGCTAATGGCTTTATGGCCGGTAACATCCTTTGTTTACTAAGATGACAGGCAGCATTCTTTGTCCACACTTTATTCTTTGTAGAAGGTATGAGACTGTGTGAGATATTCAAAGGCAAATACCATCCTCATTTTCCAAACGACAAAACTTACCTGCCTGAGAGTTTAAGTGGCTTGTTTATTGCCACAGGGCTAGTAATTAGCAGATCTCCTGGTTTGTTGGGCTTTTTCATGGACTGCTCTGCCTGCAACCAGCAGGGCTCTGACGCACCAGGGAAGACATCAGCCATGCTTGGGAGCAGGGGGAATGGGCGTGGAGCAGGGAGACCTCCCAGGGAAGGTGGCATTTGACCTGAGAATTGAAGGACTCGAGAGGTTTCAATCATAGAAGAAAGGAGAGAAGAAAGAATATTTCAGAAATAAAGAAGCTCTGTGAGCAGAGCACAGAGCAGGGCCAGAGGAGCCACCCAGGGCAAGACTGCCTGGGGAGTGAAGTCTCCCTCCCTCCGTCTCCTCTGAGAGGCTGAGATAAAGGAGAAGGAGAGGCTGGGGTGTCTCCTGACTGATAAACAGGCTCCACCCAGAGGCCAATAGCTTGTGAGTGGGCACAGGGGCGCCAGGTGGCAGAAGCGCCCTTTCTCCAGGAAAAAGGAACTGGGGTGGGGTAGGAGGGAGGCCGTTTCCTGAATCCCCGTCCTCAGACTCAGCACCTAGAGCAGGACCAGGAAGGATTCTGGGAACCAGAGAAAAGGCCAGACAGACGGCAAGTCCCCTGGAGAAAGCCATTCCCTTTTGGAGTCAGATGCCTAGGGTGGGAGGTGGGGCTGGATGGTGTGTGTGAGTGCCCTGCCTGCCCCTGGAGATGAGGGGTGTGAGGCTTGGAGGACAGGACCGGTGAAGGAGAGGGAGCTGGCGGGCGAGGGAGGGAGGGAGGTTAGGGATACCTTTAGGGGAGAGGTTCCTTCTGAAGCACTTCTGGGAGCACTGCCCTGGCATGCAGATACACAAGTGTGTGTGTGTGTGTGTGTGTGTGTGTGTGTGTGTGTGTGTGCGCGCACGCACGCGTGTGCGTGTATAGGGGAGTAAGTGGGCAGGGGGAGGTGTCAAAATGGCCTGATATGACTCTCTTTAATGTCCCCCCCTTCCTGAACCAGCTTCTCTGTCCTCCCTCCTCATTCAGTTCAGGAGGGCGGAGACAAGTCGGGGAGAGCCATGGGGTCTGAGCCAGGGAGCAGAGCGGAGACCCGCAGGAGACGGGAGGTAAGTGACCTCTGTGACCTGTGCGGGGCAGATTTATGACAACCCTGCCAGCTCCCAGGGGTCCAAAGAGGGCTGGGTTTGGGATAATGAGGGGGTGTTATCTCCATACAAAGGGACCCTAGCACTAACTGTCCCTTCTTTCTCCTCTCCCCTCCCTTTCCCCACCCCTCTCCCAATATCCTCTCTCCATCTTGTGGTTTTCACCTCCTGGCTGTCTGCGCAGAGATCTCCAGAAGAGGGGCTGCCCGCTGTACACAGCAGACAGTGGGCGATGACCAGGCGAGCGCTAATGACAGTCCTGCTTTTCAGTCTAATCCTTGGTGGTTCTCTGCTGCTTTGGGGCTACGTTTTCCAGGGCTGTGGTCCTGGTAAGTGAGATCCTAGGTCTCCCACGACCCACTCAGCCCTCCCTCATTCTTGGACCCCATCCATCCATCCATCATCCTGAGGCTCTGTGTCCATTAACTGCCACTCATCCCGACCCTCTGGGGCCCCGGGTTCCCGACCTCTTCCCCCTTGAATCACGCTCCTGGCCGCCAGTCAGACCATTTCCTCCTCACCAGGGTCTCTGTCCCTTTCCCTCCCCAGACATTCCTTTGCTTAGCCCCTTGGGGGAGCCCTCATCACTTTCTCTTTCCCAGCTCTGAGCTTTTCCCCACAGCCCACTGTGAGACGCCTGTGTGTCGGGACCTCCTGAGTCTTTACGTGGCCTCTGGAAACACCGGTGTGGCCCCCTGCACTGATTTCTTTAGCTTTGCCTGTGGAAACACCAACAGGACCACTAGCTCTTTTCAGGCTCTTGCAAAAGAGAACAAGCGCCGACTTCAGAGAATGCTGGGTAAGGAAATCAGGGTGGAAGATTCTCTTGCCGTGGGCGCCACTGAGCCTGGAATGATCACAGCTGTTCCAAGCCTGTGTGCCTGTGGAACACCTGGTTTGCACCATCCTCCATTGGCTCTCAGGGAACTGCTAGGTTTGCCTCTCCATCACCGTACATTTCACCGCAGGTACCACCTCTCTTCCATCTCTTCTTGTCCCTCCCTTCATCTTTTCTTTACCTAATCCCTATCCTCTCTCCTTTCCCCTTTATCCACGATTGCTCCATTCTCTCCAAGTTCTCCCTCTCACCAAGTTCCATCTTCTGTGTTATCTCCCTTAAATTTTCAATTTCTACCCTATGCCAGGTGTCTGCCCACACTGGCATCTCCTCAACACCTGTTGCACTTTAATCTTTCTCTCCATCACTCTCATTGTCCAGCCCTCAGACCCTTCTTGTCTCCTAATGCGCCCTTGTCAGTGTTATCCTCTCCCCCCCATCGCTTCCCAGACCCCCCTCTTTTCACCATTATCTCCTGTTCTCCCTGAAACCTTGGACCTTAGTGTGCAGGTTGAACTGGAGGAAGCTAAACTGGGACGATGGAGATGACTGACTGGACATGATGGTGGGAGGAAAGAAGAGGCGTAGTGGGCGAGAATTGCTGGAGGGGTCTTAATTGGGTTGTGTGTAAGGGAATGAATATGGATGGGCACAAAAGAGATGCTGGAGGGAGAGGAGGACCAAGTTAAAAAGGCTGGAGGTAAGAAGATGCCTGTAGATGGTGGCTGTGTTGAGAGGAAAACTGTGAGGGAGGAACCAAGGCCACATAGGAAGTAGGAAGCTGGTCCCAGGAAGTTGGTGGATGGTGGCGAGGATTTGGGAGTAAGCATGTAACAAAAGGAATGCATTCCCTGCATACGGGAACCCAGAGAACCTGCTGACGGTATCAGTTGGAATCTGGAAGAAATAAATGTATCCCTTTGCCCTCCTTCTTTTGATAGGAAAAAAGTGGAGGTGGGTATTCCCTGCATGGTAGAGGGGCACGCTTTCACTTAAGGTATGGAGATGAAAAGAAAAAATACGCTTCGGACAAATTCTGCTGCCCATAACAGAATGAAAGGATGCCAGGGGGACTGAGGGAGAGGTGTTAGATATTAGAAGGTGGAGGATTCAAATGGGTTTGTGTTTGGGTTATTGTCCTGTGTTTGTTTGTTTGTTTCCTGGGATCAAAGAGAGGGGAGAGTCCAGACTAGGGGAGCCTGCCCCTATTTTTTCTCTTTGCTAAACATGTCCTCACGCACTTTCCTCTCTCCGATCCCTCAGGAGTCCTCTGATTTCCCCAATATTTCTAATTCCTTCATTCATCTCCCTCCTGCCTCTCAGTTCTACTTTCTCCTTTTTCCATACTCTACTTATTCCATTTCTTTTTTTCCTCCCCTGTCTTTTCGTCTTTATTTCTTTTCTCACCTTTCTTCCTTTTTTTTTTTTGGCCGCGCTGCTCAGCTTGTGGGATGTGGGATCTTAGTTCCCCAACCAGGGATGGAACCCGGGCCCTCGGCAGTGAGAGTGTGGAATCCTAACCACTGGCCCGCCAGGGAATTCCCTCACCTCTCCTTTATCCTCCTCGTTGTCTTGTCCATGCTCCCGTTCCCAGCTCTTTTTCTTCCATCAAGTTGATCCAGCTCATCCCATCTTCCCAGTTTTCCTCATCCCTCTCTTTCTCCCCTTCCCTCCTTATCCCTGGAAGTCTTCCCTTTCCTATAACCTTTCTGTCTCCCACCTTCCCGGCTGGTGCCCCACTCCTTTAATTAACCCACACTTCCTTTCTAGAAGCCCCGGGTTCCTGGCGCCTGGACTCTGGGGAGGAGAAAGCCTTCCAGTTCTACAACTCCTGCATGGACACAGGTGCCATTGAGGCTGCAGGGGCTGGTCCCCTCAGACAAGTTATTGAGGAGGTGAGACTCGGGGCATCAACTTTTCTGGATGCATAACACGCAAGACCAACATATGCTCACGGCTGCCATTTTTTCCCCCTAGAGGATGGGTCTCTTTCCTAGGGATTTGGGAGGGAGATGGAAATGGCAATGGCCTGTGGATGTATTAGGACCTTGGGTGAGGGCAGGGAAAGCGGGATAAAGGTGGAGCCCTAAAGGGGTTAAGGGACTCAGAGTAGAGGTCAGTGGTGCTGGTGGGGTTCGTCTCAGAGGTCAATGGTGGTGGTGGGGTTGGTCTCAGAGACTGTGCCTGTGCTGAGCCCTCTCTCTCTCCTTCCCAGCTTGGAGGCTGGCCAATCTCCGGTGATTGGACTCCCTTAGACTTTAACCGAACTCTGAGCCTTCTGATGAGTCAATATGGTCACTTCCCATTCTTCAGAGCCTATTTGCGACCTCTTCCCACCCCTCCGTACACGCCCGTCATCCAGGTGAGGGAGGCACTGGCAAAAAATGAAGTAAAACCTGGGCCTGACTCAGATTTCCTCGGAGAGGAAAAATGTGCAATCCAGGGAAGAGGCTTATCTTTAGGGAAATTATTGATGTGAGAACCAGGGACTTGAGGTGAGATTAGGGAAAGGAGCAGCAGGGAAGTCCTGGGAAGACAGAAATAGTCTTGGTCTTCCTTGTAGCTTCTCGGAATCCCCCCCGGGGTCTCTCAAGTAGTTCCTCTGTCTCCAGTATTGCCTTCCTATTATTTAGCTTTCATTTTCCCCAGAGGGACCTTTTCTAAACCAAGAGCTAATTATGCTGTTGTCTCTGTTTAAATGCCTTAAATGGCTCACTAGGTCATCAGGATCTGGTTCTTAATCCTTAGCAAAGCCTTGCAAGTCCGACCCTTACAAACTCCTCCAGCCTTATCTCCCCCTTATACCCCAAGCCATGCTCGCTCGCTTACAGCTCCAAGGATATTCTCCAGTTCTTTGCATACATGGCTTCCTTTGCCTGCAACGCTACGCCTCAGTTCGCACACTCAGCCTGGAAAACTCATACATATTTTTCAACTTTTGGCCTTGATTACTGTCCCTTCCAGGAAATCTTCACTGAAACCCTGGCTGAGATGTAGGTGAACCCCTGTGTTCTCCCATTTCCTGTCACCTCAGCATTTAGCACTGTGTTGAAGACTGAGCCTCTTAAGAACAGGCCCACGGTTTATTCAGCTCAGGTCCTCGGGACCTAGCGCAGGGCCAGGCATCTAGAGGCCCACACCAGGTGTTTGCTGAGCGGGTAAAAAATATTAAAGCCTTGGAGGCATCCGTATTGTGGTAGGCCATGTGACCCTATATATTTGGCCCCTACTCTGAAAAATGCCACGAAATTATATGAGGATGAATATACAAGAACTGATAATGCACATGAGGCATTCTCAAATTCAGTTCTAAAGGGTGTGCTGAGGAGTTTAACTGGTGTGGCCTTTGGAAATTGGTTAAGACCTGAAATGGTTAAGGAGAATCTCAAAGGAGGGAGAGTGTGGGCTGAGTCCTGAAGCCTGGTTGATACGTACAGCTGACGGTGAAGCTAAAGGGCCTTATAAGGGCTGCGGGGAAGTCCTGAGCTAAGGGAAGAGCCTGGAATGGTGTGACACCTCTGTGGGGTCAGCAAGGAGGCTGGTCTGTTGAACAGAGGATTTGCGGGTAGGGGTGGGGTGCAGTGGAAGGCAAAAGTAAGGCTGAAGACATGAAGTTGAGACTGATTATTCCCGGCCCATGACACTGGACTGAGGTGATAACTTTTGACATAACAGAAAAAAAAGCTACAGAGGCCTTTCAAATATGATGGTTGTACATAGAGCCCAAGTACAGTCAGCGGTTTTCGAGGTCAACCTAGAGGTGCTGAGGCAGCTAGATGAGCCACGTTGATTCTGAACTAAGATGATTGTGGCAGAAATGGAAAGGGAGGCCAGGCATGAGGATGTAGGCAGCTACCTACATCCTCATCCTAGTGGTGATGGATGGTCCATGGTGATTCGACTGGTGACTGACTGAATATCAATAAGAGAAATGGAGAAACTAGACAATGACCCCACAGTGTTGGTTTGGTGTGAATGGGAGGAGGGTGGTTCCCATCACCTTGAGACTGAATGGTCTCTGAGGGGCAATACAGGTAGAGAGAGTGAACTACAGAGGGAGCACCCCAATGAGGTGGCGCCAGAGAAGAGTAAGAAAGGTCAGGAGGTGGGGGTCAGACCAGCTCAGCTGAGCCACAAAGGACAGGGGAGAGACCAGTTCAGGAGGGAGGGGTTATCTTTGATTCCAGAGACTTCTGAGCTTAGAAAATAAGGAATGAAAAGACACCACTGGAAACCTTCTAGACATAGCATCAAAATGGTCATGGAGATGGACTCAGATTTTATGGAGTTAGGAGGAAGGTAAGGAAGTTGAAGCAAAGGCATAGATGACGTTTAGTTCTTTGAAGTTTGGACAGAAAATGTGACAAAGGAGTCAAGTGAAAGCTTTATTCAAGATAGCAGAAAAGTCTATAGCTCCAGGTGGGAGTAGGGTATTGAAGTCAGAGAAGTAAAACAAAAAACGTGGGAGCAAAGATCTTCGGGATAGAAACAAGGACACACCGATGTCAGAAGGAGGGTGAAGTGTGTGAGGGTAGTGGGCTCCTTGCCTGGGGTGCAGGATTTGAGAGGTACCCAAACTCACTAATCAAGGTAAATAGAATTTCAATAAATATTTTTTAAAATGTCAAAATCAACGCAAAATCCATGATGAACAAATATCAAAGCAGAGTATTTTTTTATGGTATATAATACGCAGTATAATGTAATAAATATTTTAATTTCTTAAGGATATTGAACTCTTGTGTCCCTTAGAGGGGACTTACAACTTACTGCTACAAATATTGGCACTTAATCATAGAGGAAAATGACATTAAAATAGTTCAAGGATAGGGCTTCCCTGGTGGCACAGTGGTTGAGAGTCCGCCTGCCGATGCAGGGGACGCGGGTTCGTGCCCCGGTCCGGGAAGATCCCACATGCCGCGGAGCGGCTGGGCCCGTGAGCCATGGCCGCTGAGCCTGTGCGTCCGGAGCCTGTGCTCCGCAGCGGGAGAGGCCACAACAGTGAGAGGCCCGCGTACCGCAAAAAAAAACAAAAAACAAAAAACAAAAAAACTCTATTGCAGACTTTTGGGGAAACATCTACAATTTAAAAAAAAATGATCAAAAATACATTGTGGATTTTGGGGAAAAATACATGATGAGCAAAGTTTTGCTATTTTATTCTGTGGGGATTTTTAGCATTAATTTAGATTTTTAAAATTTCAATTAAGATATTATCGATCTTGATTACTGAGTTTTCAGTACCTCTCAAATTTTGCACTTGAGACGGGTATCTCACTCCCTTTACCCTAGACCTGGCCCTGGCACAGATAGTGATTCCCTACAGGACGTGGGTTATTATGCTTCTCTCTTGCTGAGCACCCCCAAACTGGTTGAAGTACCTTCTTTGCACATTTGCATGTCTGTACTCTTCCCCCGTGTCCCTCGCCCCCAGTCCCTGCCTTTCTTTGCTCTCTGGCTCCTCCTCTGTGCCCCCTTTAGTCCATCTCCTGGGGCCATCTTCCTGGTAAATCCCCATCTCCCCACACCTGTCCTCTCCTTCCTCCACATTCCCCACTTCTCTCAGTCTCTCTTGTGTCCAGATAGACCAGCCAGAGTTTGACGTTCCCCTCAAGCAAAAGCAGGAAATGAACTATGCCCAGGTAAGATGGCACTGGGGACCAAGGTCCTGACCTCTTGTGCTAGAGAAAGGCAGGGGCCGATGGTGGCTGTGACTGAGATTGCCTCTCCCCCAGATCCTGCGGGAATACCTGACTTACCTGAATCGCCTGGGAACCTTGCTGGGAGGAGACCCAAACAAGGTGGGAGAGCACGCCTCCTTTTCCATCTCCATTAACTCACAGCTGTACCAGTTTCTGAGGCCCCCGGAGCAGCAGCAGACACAGGGAAAGCTCTTCCAGACTGTCACGATTGACCAACTGCAGGTACCTTGAACCAGGGACTGGATGAAGATGGGCCTGAGGGTCTCGCTCCCAAACTTTCTTGACCTTCTTGTCTTCTTTCTCCTTATTTCCTTAATTCCATTCCATCCCTGACTTTCCTGGCTCCATCCTTTCCCTCAACCCCCCACCTCCCCACTCCCTTTCCTACCTGAGGGAGGGGATGCCCCCTTTCCTCCTTTCCTGTCCCCCCAAGCCTCCGTATCCCTCCTTTAAGGAAATGGCCCCTGCCATCGATTGGTTGTCCTGCTTGCAAGCGACATTCGCACCAATGTCCCTGAGCCCCTCTCATCCCGTCGCAGTCCATGACCTGGAGTATTTGAAAAACATGTCGCAACTGGTTGAAAAGCAGCTGTCGAAGCACAGGTTTGCCCCACGTGGGAGGGTGATGGAAAGAGGGTCCGAGGACCGGAGGTCTCAGGGACAAAGACGACTGGAGAATGCAGGCTAGTAGGGGCCTCGCAGAAAGATGGGAGGGATCTGGGGCCATATGGGGGCAGAGAGCGGGTTGGGATGGACGGCCCGGGAGGACATGGTGGAAACAGGAAGAGGGGCTCGGGGGGCATGGGGTAGGGAAACACACACGAAATGAGGGATCCAGGTATCTGACAAGACATGGGGTTTGCTGGGAGTAGCACCCAGCCTGTGAAGCAACTCTGAGCTGTGGGAGATGCTCGAAGGCCAGTTGCTGGGGACAGCTGGGCACTTATGTCTTGGCAGCAGCTGAGGGGTGTGGGTGGGAGGAGAAGGTGCGTGGGATGAGTAGATGGAGGAGGTGAAGGCTGGGAAGAACCTCGGGGAGACGCTGTTTCTCATCTGTAGTGAGAGGATTCTGGGGCCCTTGTGGGAGAGATCAGGGCGTCGAGGAAGGTGGGAGGAGGGAGGGTGAGGCTCCGTATTGGGCTCACTGCTGTCCTTGATACTGTGTGGCCACCACTTGGAGGCAGTGGCTTCCTTCCAGGGCCTTGGGCTCAAAGCCCATCTTCATAGTAACTCAGTGGCAGCAACGTCTAGAAATTCTTTCAGGGAGAAGCAAACAACCATTCACGCAGGTGCGATCTCTATCCTATGTAAGGATACAAATCAAACCCGGTGAAAGAGTTGCCAGCAGGGCAGAGAAAGGTCCTGGATCCCAACTTTGTTGCTCTTAGAAGATGCATCTTAAGATGAGCTGAGGTTTCTTGGTTGTGGAAGGAGCTGAATCTGTTTGGTTGAATCTGAGTCCAGCCTTCATCTAGCCCAGATCCTTCCCCCCGCCCCGCTGTGACTTGAGAGGTCCGCCTCTTCATGTGGTTCTTTCTTCTATCATTCTCCACCCCAGCCCAACCCACATCTAGAAAAGCGCTTCTTAAAACAGATAAGAGTTTTGAACAGTGGTTACCAGGGGCTGAAGGGTGGGGAAATAGGGAGAGGTTGGTGAAAGGGTACCAACCTTCAGTTGTAAGATGAACAAAGTCTCAGGATCTAATGTGCAACATGGTGACTGTAGTTGATAACATTTAATTTTGCTTCGCTGTATTTTACTTTGTAGAGATTGTGGTTTTTTACAAATAAAAGGTTTGGGGCAACCCCATGTCAAGCAAGTCTGTGGGCACCATTTTTCCAATAGCATTTGCTCACTTCATGTCTCTGGGTCATATTTGGGTGATTCTCGCAACATTTCACGCTTTTTCAGTATTATTTTAATTGTTAAAGTGATCTGTGATCAGTGAACTTTGATGATACTTTAATCGTTTTGGAACTTTTTAGCAATAAAGTATTTTTAAACTAGGGTAAAAAAAAAAAGATAGAAAGAAAAGCCCCCCCCCCTTTTTTTTTTTAAAAAAGCCCTTCTTGACGTGTTCACATGTGAAATAGTTATTCTCTATTAATACAGAGAAGGGCTTCCCCGAGAGTATCAAGGTGACCTATACAAGGGGAACCTTTTCTGGTGGTTTCCCCAGAGCCCGGGGGTATATTGTGGGTCTCTTTTCTCTCCACAGGGACTTTCTGCAGAGCCACATGATCTTGGGTCTGGTGGGGACCCTTTCTCCAGCCCTGGACAGTAAATTCCAAGAGGCACGTAGATTGCTGAGCCAGAAACTGGGGGAGCTGACAGGACGACCACCCACGGTGAGGAGGGGAGGGGAGGAATTCTCCCGGATCGGGGTCTAAAGGAGCATCTGTCATTTGGGGGGATAAACGTGGGCATTGCCCCCTCAGGGAGGGGCATGAAGATAGATGCCCCAGGGTCTGGGCTCTCGTGGGCACTCAAGGCTTACACTGAGAGCTGAGGCACCAGGGACCAGACCCTTAGGCACACGTCTGGCTACCTCGAGGGCCTTTTGCTGATTGTTAAAGTCTAGATATAAAGCTCTAAAGTGATCAAGACCTGCTTTTCCTTTGTCATGACCCCTAGACTATTTGCCTGGTTATCCTGAGCGCTGTGATTTGAGGGGCCGGACATACAGCCTAGGGTTCACTGGAGTAAGAGGCAGGGACCTTCCCTTTGTCTAGGTGACTCCAGTGTTCCATGTCCAAAGGTGCTTCACAAAGAGCTCATCTCTGACATCCCGAGGGTTCTGTCGGCCACACCGTGGGCTTCGTGGTGCAGATCCCAACATATCAGAGGAGGGAGCTGTACCAAACGTGCTCTACTAACCAAAGTCTACTCTGTCCATACTCAGTTACTGAGAACTTTGAAATCCTAGGTCGACACATCCAATCCCAAGAGGAGGCGTCTAGAACATAAGATGCCCTCCAACCTCAGGCAAGGCCTCAGGGTCGTCTTGAAAATCACTGGGTTTCTTTTCTTAGTAATTTGTGGACCATTTCTCTGCCTTGGAGAAACTCATGGCTTTGGCAACCTGAAATATCCGTGGAATTCAGAGAAGGGAATTGTAAACACAGGGACTGGAATGTAGTAATCGCCTATTGAGACTTTCAAATGTGCTAGATATTTTTCTGAGCCCTTTAGATACATGAGCTGATTTGATCCTCACAACAAGTCCATGAGGTGGGCAGACCGTTCTGTCCCTGTTTTATTGATGGGTAAATTGAGACCCAAAGGTTAAGGATCTTGCTCGGGGTAATATACCTAGTAAGTTGTGAGAGCTAGGATTTGAACTCTGGAAGTCTGGCTCCAGAGTCTGTGTGCTTAATCACTGTTAAGAAAAAAAAAAAAGAAAAAGAAAAAAAAGAAAACCCAAAAAACTTTCTAGAATTATCACTCAGGTAGGCTAGTCCCCAGGAAGCTTTGGCTCAGCCTTTCCCTTGACTCAGATTAGACAGAGCCCCAACCCCTCTTAGTTAGGGTTGCTACAAAATCCCTGGCACCAAACAGCCTCCTGGAAATCCCAGAACCATGGCCTGGTGGCACTTCTTGGAAGGTGTAAGAATGCCAACATTGAAATTCACACTTAAAAAACTTAGAAGGCTTATGAATTGCTAAAGTCACCACCCTTTATACACATATATATCCTTTATATACATATGATAAACATCCTTATATATCTAATAGGATATATAATTGTCCTTGGGCTTAAAAGCTGAATCAAACCCTACCAACAAATAATTCTGTGACTTGGTGAAGCCCTTTCACCTGTCTGGAACAGTACCAGGTATGACACATATTAATAACAAAAGCTGAAATACATGGAGTAGTTACTCTGTGTCAGACATTGCTTATTTTATTTACTACTCCCAGAACCACTCTGAGGTCCTCAGAAAGGACCTGTAATGTTCCCAAGATCACACAGCTCCTAAGTGAAGGAACACACTCCAAAACAGGTCTGTCTGACCCGGGAGGCCATATTTTTAACCACAAACTGTGCAGGATTGAGAAATAGTGGGTGGTAACAAAAAATGCTTTGGCAAATTCTTTCTATAAAGGTCAAGATAGTAAATATTTTTGGCTTTGTGGTCTATGTGATCTGTGTTGCAACCCCTCAACTCTGTCCTTGTAACACAAAAGCAGTCATATGCTAAGTAAATGAATGGGCGTCACTGGGTTCTGAGAAGACTCTGGTTTAGATACTCTTGGAATTCCTAAGAGGGAGAGATGAGGGTGGGTTTAAATGATCAGTGGGATATCTGAACGGGAGGTAGGACGGAAGCAGTGTCTAGGGAGAACGGGTTTTCCGGCGAAGAGAGGGATAGCATTTCATTGCAACAAGGCATGGGGCAGGCTGGCCAAGGCTTCGTGCAGTGTGAGGGATCCTCCTGGTGGCTCTGGCTGAGTAGAGGTGATTGGCCTTGCAGGCAAGGCTGTCCTACTGCTGCTGGAGCCTGGCCTGGGGGGGTTTGAGAATCAGCCCGGGAGCCAGCACAACTGGAACAGAGAAAGCAAATAGGACAAGAGTAGGGAGGAAATCAGAGAGGGGAGGAGGGGGTTATACTGGGCCTGGTAGGTCACTGTAAGGACCTGGGTTTTTCTCTGCATGTAACAGGGGCCTATAGAGGGATTTATCTGTTTTATGTTTTAAAAGATCATATTTTGAAGGTAAGCAGCAGTGTTTCCTGACGGATGTGTGGTGTGAGAGTGAAAGTGGAGTCAAAGATACCACCAAGGTTTTGGCCTTGATTTGACCAAAATTTGTATTTCTATCCAATGGTTGTTAATTACAGATGTCTAACCATATTCTTCTGGACGAATTCTAATTCAGAAGGACTGTTAGTTCTCATTATCTGACCATATTTTGTTTATGACTTTTGAATATATCGTCAGTGAAACTGGCTGTTAAGCCAGGTCTTCCTCTTATTAAACTTGAGAAGCTGAGTTTGGGGAATTAAAAGCAGAACCTCACATTTTTGCCCATTAAATGTGAACTGTTTACATTCAGCCCAACATCCCAATTTATTCAGGTAATTTTAGCCTTTGATCTGTTATTTCTGCCTCGGGTCATTCATGGTTTTATTTATTGCATCTTCATCTAGATTACTGGTAAAATTCTGTAGAGGGAAGAGAATTGGGTCAGGTTATTGAAGACCTAGCGAAGAGTCGTCAGTTCATTTACGCACCAAATGTTAATTGAGCCCCTATTATATGCCAGACACTTCTCTAGGCCCTTGGGAATCTTCATGAACAAAATAGACAAAAATCCTTGCCCTCAAACACTTATATTCTGATGGAGGCAGAATTACAGTAAGCTGAATAAAACATACTGGATAGTATTAAGTGTTATGAAAAAATAAAACAGGAAAGAGAGAGAGGCATACCAGGTGAGGACGTGCTACGTTGTCCAGTGGGGTGGTCGGGGAAGCTCGTACTAACTTGGAGTCAGTAATCACTGATGTTCCCTTATGGATCAGCCAGTCAGAATCCACTCAGATCACACTGTCATTTAACGTGGATTTCTCCATCAATTTCACAAAGATGTAATTTTTGGTTTTGCCAACTGCTATCTTGAAATCAAATTATTGCCAACAGAGTGGGGTAGAACTTTAGAATTTACAGAGCACGTTCCACGTAGTGTTTCCCCTGCTCTCCCAAGCTGCTTTGTGAGGAAAGCGGAACAGGAAGGTAGAACAGGCATTAGGCTCATTTTGATAGCTGGCGTAACTGAAGTATGAGGGTTTAAGTTAATAATCCACAGTTAGTAAATACTGAATTCTCTGTACAGAGGGAGCAGCACTGCGGTGGTCCTTGAGGCTGAATCTGGCCCATAGGTGTGTGTTGTTGGCCTTTGAAGCTTTTTACAAACTGTTAAGGAACGGCGGACTTTCAAATATTAGGTGATGGCACAGCAAGAGGCAGAGTTCCTGCCTCTTTTGTTGTTGTCAGTGTGAAGCTCTGGCAACACTGAGCTAGCCGTCTCCAGGGGCAACAAATGCCCGGAGCTGAGTGATGCAGCCAGTAGGGCTGCGTCCCTGTCTCCGGTTTGCCGTACCCCTTCTTGTCCTGGGGTTCTGGCGTTGGGCTGCTTCTCTCACTTAGGTTACCTCATGGCCCCTGTTTGAGTTTGTGACTCCAGATCTACTGTTTATCCTAATTTAATGATCCTTTAAAAGTGATGACATTTCAAAAGGATTTTGATATTATTCGTCCTCAGTGATGCTATGCTGGCCCTCAGTAGTTACACATTATTTTCCAAGTGTTCAAAAATAGTCGGTTTAATGATTCATTCTAGAATTTTGTTTAGAAATTAACATTAAGGACTCCTGACTCACCTGTAATCTCTAAAATCTACCTTCCCCTTACTGAAAATTGTGCAAAACTTTGCTTCTCTCCAGACTCTTGGAATTTTTCCTGATTTTTATCATGTCTGTCATTACTCATGGTTCTAAGCTTGTATCTGCAACTTTTTTTCTTTCTTTTTTGAAAGATTTTTTCCTTCAGGTATAGTTGATTTAGAGTGTTGTGTTAACTTCTGCTGTACAGCAAAGCGATTCAGTTATACATATATATCCATTCTTTTTCATATCCTTTTCCATTATGGTTTATCACAGGGTTTTTTTTTTTAATTAATTAATTTATTTATTTATTTTTGGCTGTGTTGGGTCTTCGTTTCCGTGTGAGGGCTTTCTCTAGTTGCGGCGAGTGGGGGCCGCTCTTCATCGCGGTGCGCGGGCCTCTCACTGTCGCGGCCTCTCTTGTTGCGGAGCACAGGCTCCAGAAGCGCAGGCTCAGTAGTTGTGGCTCACGGGCCCAGTTGCTCCGCGGCATGTGGGATCTTCCCAGACCAGGGCTCGAACCCGTGTCCCCTGCCTTGGCAGGCAGATTCTCAACCACTGCGCCACCAGGGAAGCCCCTATCACAGGGTTTTGAATATAGTTCCCTGAGCTCTACAGTAGGACCTTGTTGTTTATCCATCCCGTATATAATAGTTTGTATCTGCTAATCCCACACTCGCACTCCATCCCTACCACGTTCCCACTCCCGCAACATTTTTCTGTTCCTTAAAATTAATCTTTTGAGCCTCATTATCCTGGGTTTGAAGTATTTCTTCTATCCTTTATATTTTAGCAGTGATTTTTTTTCTTTTTCTCTATTTTCAATCAGTGTGGTATACTCTATCACTCCACGTCTTGAGAGACAGCTCAGATACTCATAACCCCCAGCAGATGAATATGCAACCTGCCAACCTCCACTCCTGAGACTTATGTTCATTTATAGATTCTGGAAGTTATTTTCCCGCACATAGAACATATGACTCAGCACAAGTGTGACCAAAAGAATCCCAGAGTGGCACAGGGTGAGCAGTGGGTGGTCCGAGGTGGTGTCCATACTCTCCAGGAACCAGGTCAGGGCCTGCCGTGGCCTGGGCTATGGGCAACAGCATGGAACAGGCAAAGGCTGTTGGAGAGAAGGGCAGGCATCAGCAAAAGGGATCAGGAAACAACTCAAGAACCAGGAGGTGTAGAAAGGGCAGGCAGGTCCACACTACCAAGCTCAAGGCTGATGTGTTTGCTACTGTCCTGGGTGCAGCCCTCCACCCCCGGCAGCAGTCTGATGAAAGACAGTCTCAGAGCCGAGCTTGTCGTCGGGGGCCTGCAGGGGATGGACACCGAAGGTGACCAACGGTACCTGCACTTGACCCAGGCATTGCTATCAGACCAAGGTCGCCTTTCTATTTGTTTTTCACATTTGTGAGTTTCAGAGCTGCAAGTAATACACTGTGGAAAGTGTCTGAGTCCCTTCTCCTCACCTGGAGAAGGTCCTTAATAGGTCTCGTGGTGAGGGGACAGACAAGAACGCACAGATGTGGGCAACCGGCTCTGGAGCAGCCTCCAAAATGATAAACATTCTAATAGGCAGGCCCGGGAGTGTCTTCAGTGACAGAAGTCCTGGCCTTCCTTTCTATTTCCTCTTTCGTTGGAAGCCCCATAAACTCCCTCCAACCTTAGGACCGGAATGCGTGGTGGCAGCCTCGCTGCCTTACCTGCCAGGAGGTCTGGGGGAATAAATAAGTTACAGGAATGAAGTCTTGTGACTTGAGCCCACTCAGCCCAAATCGGCATGTGAGCCGGTTTTTCCTAAGTCCCAGCTCAGCTTTCCCTTAGGCCAGCTTCCTGAATTTGTTTCTCATCTGCCCTGCGTCATCTCTGGGCCTACGCTTGGTCGTCTCTTCAAAGCCATCCACCCCATCATCTCTCTTTTATGTTTCTTAGTCTTTCCATCCTGCTGTTAACACATTATTTGACCGGGGGGTTTTTGCAGAAACTAACGCCTGTGGCAGTAATATGTCTCTGGTCAAACGTGTTAAAAAACACCCCAGTTGGGCTTCCCTGGTGGCGCAGTGGTTGAGAGTCCGCCTGCCGATGCAGGGGACGCGGGTTCGTGCCCCGGTCCGGGAAGATCCCACATGCCGCGGAGCGGCTGGGCCCGTGAGCCACGGCCGCTGAGCCTGCGCGTCCGGAGCCTGTGCTCCGCAAGGGGAGAGGCCACAACAGTGAGAGGCCCGCGTACCACAAAAAAATAAAAAAATTTTAAAAATTTAAAAAACAAACAAAACACCCCAGTTGCCAAGGCCCTCTTTGAGTTTTTATTTTTTAATAAATTATTTATTTATTTTTGGCCACGTGGGGTCTTCGTTGCTGCACGCGGGCTTTCTCTAGTTGCGGTGAGCGGGGGCTGCTCTTCATTGTGGTGCGTGGGCTTCTCATCGCCGTGGCTTCTCTTGTTGTGAAGCACGGGCTCTAGGTGCGCGGGCTCAGTAGTTGCGGCACGCGGGCTCGGTAGTTGTGGCTCACGGGCTCTAGAGAGCAGGCTCAGTAGTTGTGGCGCACGGGCTTAGTTGCTCCGTGGCGTGCGGGATCTTCCCGGACCAGGGCTCGAACCAGTGTCCCCTGCATTGGCAGGTGGATTCTTAACCACTGCGCCACCAGGGAAGTCCCCTCTTTTGAGTTTTTGTCGAACCGTTTCTCTGCCTTTGAAGTTGAAGACGTCCATCCTCTCATCCTATATCCCTTTCCCTGATTTGGCAGAAAGTGTCTTAGTGCGCTGAATTCGTATATTTAGCCTTTTCTCTTTTCCTCTTCTTCCACCAAACAATATGGCGTCTAAAACCCAATTTTACTCTGATGACTTTCTTCTTTATAAGACAAAAGACCATATGATCCTCAGTAACCATTTGGAGAGAGTGGGGCAGGAAGGCAGGAGGCAGGGAGACTTTTCCTTCTTCAATTTCTCTTTTAGGTAAAGAAGCTTTGGGAGGATGGGCGTCGCTGCTGGGCTCTGTGCGTGGTGGGCGGGGACAGGGTGGCAGGCAGACCTGCTGAAGTGAGAGGGTTGGCTATAGTCCTGTCCTTCCCGGGAGCCTTTCAGTCATCCAGAAGGATGCCTCCCAGTGGCCTGGCTTTCAAATTCAATAGGCAAATAAACAAGGATAGTTTGCCCAATCCAGGCTCATGAGACTAATCCTGGAGGAGATGTGAGACCCTCTTTGCTAAGCAGCATGACCTCACGTGTGTCACCAAAAGGGCTTATAAAGGGAGACAAACCCAGAAAGTCCGGCAAAGAGAGCGTGCTCTGGGGGTGAAGGTCTAGGTGAGACTGGCCTGGGAAAGTGGATGAGGAAGACGCCTTGGCGGGAGCCATTCATTCCAGCTTTGTCTCTGTAGCCCGCCCACCCTCGCTGGTTGACGTGTGTGGAGAAGACAGCAGCCTTCTTCAAGCCTACGCTGGCAGCCTTGTTTGTCCGTGAGGCCTTCGGCCCCAGCACCCGAAGTGCTGTACGTGAGGGCCCTTCCCCAGCCCACGTCCTTCCGCCCCTTCCCCGCCAGGCCATCCTCTCCTAGTTCTAGCGACTTTGCTCTTCTCGATGGTCTCTGTGGTCAGAGAACCAGCCAGTTAGAGAGGGACATGCTACATCCCTAGGGTCTGCACGGTTTAGCTCTGAGGCACAAAGTCCACATGACACACACTGACCTGGACAAGTCACCCAGCTTTCCTGCTCATGTGTTTCTTCAACCATAAAATGAGAAAATTGAACTGCATGACCTCTAAGCCTACCCCTTGTTTACCCATGATTTTTTTTTAACAACACGTGAAATGACATCAGAATGGAATGCTATCGTCTTCAGAAGTGCCAGTAAATAGCTACTGAATACTTTTCAGTGCCTACCATGTGCCTGATACTCTTATAAGCACTTTGCACCAACTACTTTAATTCCTACTATTATTATAATTTTAAAGCAGAGAGAACTGAAGCACAGAGGGGTTAAGAAACTTGCCCAAGATCACACAGCTACCAAATAGCAGAGTTAGGATTTGAACTCAGGCTCCCAATGTCGTCATCCATTTTCCTCCATCAAGAAAGGAAATACACACGGTGGTAGATGGCTGAGAAAGCAGTCAGTACACAGTCAGGGTGTGAAGCTGGGCAGGTTTCAGCTTGTTGCGAAGCTGAGGAACCCTGGAAGATGGAGAGAGGAAATGCAGGCTGTAAGAAACAGGGTGTGAGGACGAGGGTCCTCGAGAGCAGAGAAGGGGATGGTGGTCCACCTCCTCCCGCCACTTTCTGAGAGGATTGCCTGGCCGAGAGAAAGGACAGTGTCACAGAAAGGAGCTGTCTACCCCGTCAAGTGTCAGGAGTGACCAGTTCCCACCTTCCCCTTCTGTGCTTGGTACCTCCTTCACATCCCCACAGCTCTCCATACCCTGAGTTTTTGGTCACCTAGTAGGTAGCACTTTCTACTTTCTCTTTCTGAGACCTTCCTCCTTCTGGCAGCCCCTCAGGGTCAAGGCCCCTTCCTAGAGGCCCAGTGGGCAGGGCCCAGCACTGGGGCTGAGCTTGATCCTGTTTCTGCCCCGTCCTGCCCACAGGCCATGGAATTATTCACTGCAATCAAGGATGCCCTCATCGCTCGCTTCCAAATCCTTCCTTGGATGGATGAAGAGACCCGGGCAAAGGTCCAGGAGAAGGTAAGGCCAGGAGAAGGAGACAGTGTGGGAACGTGTAGTAGGTGTGAACTGAGTGTTGGATCAAGAGATCACAGGGCCTGGAGGAGCGTGCTCAAGGCCAAGGGCACAAGTATAAACACCAATATGCCGCACACACATCCTGGTGGCACTACCAAAGGAAGGGACAGGGCAGTGAGCAGGAGAGATTCCTTCTGATAAGACTTGGGGCAGCTAGGTTCCTTCCACCTTTGTGTCTCTTCCCAGGTCACCCAGCTGCAGGTGAAGATGGGGGCCCCGGAATGGGCCTTGAAGCCAGACCCAGCCAGACAAGAATACAGCGATGTGGGTTCCTGCCCTGGCCAGTTACTCTTTAACCCTCAACTTCCCCCCCCCCCCCCCCCCCCCTGCCGCTGCTTTCCCCCTTAGTGTCCATACGTTTGTTCTCTACATATGTGTTTCAATTTCTGCCCTGCCGCCCCCCGCCACCCTGATCCACCAGAGTGGCAGACAGTCATTTTCCCTTGTTGATCCTAAGAAACCCCTTCCCTGCCCTGGGGCCGCTGGGGCCGGATGGGCGGATAGCCACACTATGGATCTTGCCAACAGAAGAGTAGAATCTTGGCAGGTCACGTCGAGCGCGTGTGCGCACTCGCACCCATGCATTCGTGTGACTTGCCTGAGTACTTGTGTGCTGGTACGTGTGAAGCCTGTTTGTACCACGCAGGCACAGGTGTCATGGCGCTGGTTTTCCACCATTCCGGGGATGTCCACGCATCAGGGCTTATCTGTCTGGGTTCAGATGTCCGCATCAGGGTATATCAGTGTGCATCTACATTTGTCTCCGTGTATTCGAGTTGCCTCCTGCCTCCTCCCAGATACAACTTGGACCCAGCTTCCTGCAGTCCTTCCTGAGCTGTGTCCGATCCCGCCGAGCTAGAATCATCCGGAGTTTCCTGCAGCCTTTCCCCAGCCACAGGTATGAGGGCGAGGGAGACACAGACACCGCATCCCAAAGATAGCCGTCCAAAATTAGCAGGAAAGAAAGCCAGAGGCTCAGGGGAACAGGAACAGTGACAGTATGTGGGAAGGACGGCATGTGAATGATAGAGCCGGTATTCATGTGCGCTCTTTTCACAGGTGGCAGGTGCTCCCCTGGGGCGTAAATGCCTACTATTCAATGCCTGACCATGTGGTGGTCTTCCCAGCCGGACTCCTCCAACCCCCGTTTTTCCACCCTGGCTACCCCAGGTATGGGCCATTCTAAGTTTCCCAAGAGCAATGGACCAATGTTATGATGAATGATGGATACGACTTATGGTTGGAGAGTTGGGGCCAAAAACTTGGAAGGATTCTGAGGGTAAGACAAGCCCTTGCCCCCTATAGAGCTGTGAACTTTGGCGCCGCCGGAAGCGTTATGGCCCGTGAGCTGCTGCATATCTACCAGCTCCGTGAGTAACAGTGGGCCATCGGGAGATGGGGCCATCGGGAACCCAGGTGAAGGCCCCAAAGGCAGCCTAGAGGGGGAGAAGGGAGGCTGTGCGAGGGCTCCGGGTGGGGGGCGGCAGTTCTGAAGCCTTTGCAGTGCTCCTGGGAGCCAGCCCAGTTTGTGGTACCCCCATGTCTTCACCCCTGCATCACGCCTCGCCATTTCATTCCCTTGCCTCATTTTCAGCAGTATTCCCTGGGGGCTGCCCAGCCTGTGACACCCATGCCCTACAGGGGGCGCTAGTGTGCCTGGAGCGCCACTATGCTGCCTTTCCGTTACCCAACGGGACCTTCTTCAATGGCTCCCGCACGTTCCTGGAAGATGCTGCAGACACGGGGGGACTGGCCATTGCGCTGCAGGTAAGTCACAGCGCAAGGGCTGCGATCTATTTTTACCAGCAGAATAGACAGCCTGTCCCCAGTTTTTCCTTCCACCATCCCTCAGGCAAACATAGCAAAACGATCTGCCCTTCACATCCCCACTGAACAGGTGGCAGCTTGAGGACCCGCTCCGACACCATAGAGCCCGCTTTTCTAGATCCATAGATGGCTCAGGGCAGTGTGTCAGTGCAGAACTTGGAAAGAAGGACCATGAACTGGTTTTGGATATTGTGTGTAGGGCATCAGATTTCCAGATGGCCACGGGTCTAGAGCCTAAGGGCGACTCTGCATCCCACTCCCATATCCAGGCATACAGCACGAGGCTCTTATGGTACCGCGGGGAGACCACCCTGCCCAACCTGAACCTCAGCCCCTGGCAGCTCTTCTTCCGAAGCTACGCCCAGGTAGGCAGCCGGCACCTCCCACCAGGGCTTAGTCCATGTCAGATAAATACCCTATTGTTAACACTCAGATGTTGTTAAGCATCTCCCCCCCCCAATGCCACCGACCCTCTGCTGCACAAATCCCCAGTGTCATCCTTTCACACATGTCCCCTTGGGACCATCCCTTCATCCTGCTATAAATTCTTCTACCAAATTCAGCAGTGCCTTCAAAAAAAGGAAAACAACTCTATTCCCAAATCCCTCCTTGAGATGAGCCCAACTTTTATCTTCTCTCATTTCTTCTGGAAACACAGATCCCTTCAAAAAGAGCCTTAACAGACTATCTGTAGACCACATTCCTCCTCGGAGACCTCGCCACGCAGTGGGGTCCCCACCTGACATAACCCCCGCTAAGTGCCGTCTTCTCCCTCAGCAGATAGCGCCCCCAATTCCTCAGGATACTTAAAGACCCGCACAGTGTTCTTACAACAGACCCACCACTAGGGCACTCACAGACGGTATGATTGCACAGACCAGCCCTCCCCAGATACCCACTGCCAGATTAAATGACCCGCAAACGGCAAATATTTTCCTTTCTCCATGTGGCCCTCGGAGCATTGCTATCCCTGCTTTTATCTTTGCTGTCCCTAGTTACCACCTGGTCACCAGGTCTGCCGTGTCCTGCTGACCCTGATACCCTGCTTTTCTCCTTACCCTGTATGGACCTCTCTTTCTCCCCAGGTGATGTGTAGGGACCCCAGCACCCAGGATCCTCAGGACACTCACAGCCCTCCTACCCTTCGAATCCACGGGCCCCTAAGCAACAGCCCAGCCTTCGCCAGACACTTCCACTGTCCCCATGGCACCCTCATGAACCCCTCCAGCCGCTGCCAACTCTGGTAACCCAGCTGGCTCCCAAAGAGACCTCAGTACAGGTGTATCAGCATCTCCCTGCCCCATCCCTGGAATCAGGACAATACCTCCTCTCCCCTTCTGTTCCAAAAATAAAAGCCGGCCCTTGGCTTCTGCCTGTCTCTTAAGAACACTTTCCTGCTATGTCCGATGCCTAGAAGTCAGAAAAAATCAGAGGAGAAACCGCCAAGCAGAGTTCCAAGGACGTGAGACAGGAAAGAACCAATGAATGAGCTAAAGGTCGGTGGAAACTGGTTAGAGACAAAATTAAGCTGCCCCCAATTGTTTCCAGAATTTGATTGTTATTACTTTCATTGTTGCTGCCTCCCTACCCCTAATCTGTTGTCCTGAACAAAGCCAGGAGAGGCTGGGGGAGAGAGAAGGGCAGGGGTCCGGTGTCTCCGCTCTTGGAGATGGCCCTCAGAGGGTGGGGAGGAAGGTGGGCAGGGACCGTGGACCCCTGAGAGGCCAGCACGGGGTCTCTCTGATGCTGCGTCCCGAGGGGGAGGGTCGTGAGCAAGAGCCAGGAAGCCGCATGTACGTCACCCTCGGGAGAAGCGCTCCGGAGCCCCACGGGGAGGCGGTCAGTAAGCTACCGTGAAGCGGAGGCAGATGTCCAGGTCCTCATCCAGGAATCAGGCCACCGCCTCCGCCTCCAGGTCCCTCATAGGAAAACCACGATGCTGGCCAGGTTAAAGCAGGAGGCGAGGTCGAACAGGCGGCCACGGCTTGCCACCGCCTCTGATGTCTGCTCGTCCTCTTGCTGGGTCATGTCCACTGCCTGCCACAGCTCGCCCACCGAGGAGGCCACAAAGCGCTCTGCAAACTGTTCTCGATCTTGGTCTGAAACAGGGGACGGGGGACAGCGTGAAAGGACTGTTTCTGACGCCCCCCCCCCCCCCCCCCCGCCAGGCCGGGACCACAGCACCACCAGGCTGGGAGCCGGGGTCTGGGGAGCCCCGCTGGGGAGCCCTCCCAAGGCCCCCCGGCCGAGACAGCTCCTGGGCGGCCAAA